TATAATTTCTTATCAAATTAAATAAAAGAAATCGAAACTAGTTTGGTGAATAAAGTTGAAAAACTTATAAAAGAACATCATTTGAATATGATTTTCTCTTTTAGAACAAAAGTAATTTTTTAGAATTTTAAAAAATATTTTTTGTATTTATTTTGTCTATCACGGTAAAAATAATATATTTTTATATTAAAATTTTTATTTTTTTTGTACAAATTAAAAATACTTACTAGAAATATAAAATAATGATTTAATTATTATTTTTATTGTATTAGTTCGAGTTAACATTTGTATGGTTTGAATATTTTTTTTTATTCATATGGTTTCAGTAATATATGTATGATTTGAATATTATTACTTTGTATTTGTGCAATTTGAGTTAATATTTATAAGTTTGAATATTATTATTTTTATTTATATGGTTTTAAATTTAATATTAATATTTTTGTTTTGTGATTATTAGTTCCACGTTTTCTTATTTTGTATTCAAAAAGTAATTATAGGTTATTATTATTTATATTAATTTAAGTTATACAAATCATTTTAATTATATAGGCTTTTATATATTTGAATTATTAATTTAAATTTTTATTAAAGGGTTAATTATATTAATAGTCCCTATAGTTTGGAACTTGTGCCACTTTGGTCCCTGACTTTTCAATTGTGACACATTTGACTCTGAATTTTGAATCTTGTTCCAAATAAGGATAATTGAAGATATCATTAGATTTTTTAAGGGTAAAATTCCAATTTGATAAAATATAAACTAATTAGACAAAAATAATGTCAAACAAATATTTTTGAATTTTTAAAAATTATTTTTACCCACTAAAAATAAAATTATATAAAATTGATAAATCTTTAGACATTTTTTTTACCAAGTTAATTTTTATTATGTGTTTGGATGATGATCATGTAAAATTAATTTTTAAAAATTATCATTGTACTTTTTATTAATTTTTATCAATTTTATATAATTTTATCATTAGTGGATAAAAATAATTTTTAAAAAATTAAAAATATTTTTTTGACATTTATTTTTGTCAAATTAATTTATATTTTATTAAATTGACGATTTTGCCTTTGAAATTAAACAATGGTATCTTCAATTGTCCTTATTTGAAACAAGATTCAAAATTCAAGTCAAATATATAACAATTGAAAAGTCAGGGCCAAAGTGACACGAGTCCCAAACTATAGGGACGGTTAGTGTAATTTTCCCTTTATTTATGTTCAATACTAATCTCATTTTAATTATTTGAACAATATTTTTTTAAAAATATTAATTTTATAAAATCAGATTCATATATTAAAATTATATATTTTTAAAATAAAATAAAAATGAAAAAGTATAAAGATAAATTTTGTTTTGTTTCTTATTAAAAAAGTGTGGCGTGTGCTAGTGTTGTGAGAGAGACAGAGAGAGAGTGAGTGTGTGAGGTGTTGTGTGTTGAGAGAGAGTGAGTGTTGTGATGTGAAGTAAAATAAAATAAAATAAAAAGGAAAAGTATAAGATAAATTTTGTTTTGTTTTTTATTAAAAAAGTGCGGCGTGTGCTAGTGTGTGTGAGAGACAGAGAGAGAGAGTGAGAGTGTGGTGTGTGTGAGTGTGTGTGTGTGGAGAGAGAGAGAAGAGTGATGTGAAGTGTGTGGATTCGGGGGTACTGCTGATCCGAAACGGCGTCGTTTCATCAAGTTTAACCCAGACAAACTGACACAAATAAAAATAAACACATAATAATAGTGGCTTCTCCTTAATAAACTTAAATCCATTTCAATTTAATTCTAAAAATAAAGCAAAATGGGACCGCTAGATAAATGTTTACATTTCAATTTTGCGGGGGTGGTTCCGAATGACTGAAAAAAAAAACAAACTATCATTTAGAAGACCGACTCAGCCACGATGGGACTGTGCTTTACTAGATCAATATCTAATCCCTTAAAAAAAAAAAAAAAAAAAAAAAAGTATAAGGAAATGCATTGGAATTAAATACACATGTATGTAAAACAAAAAATCTAGATCACAAACAAGTATATTACACACCTGAGAACTTCGTGGATTGTATGATGCTTGGGAAGACAAAGGCGTTAATAGTAGATAAGTTGGCGGGCATGCAAATTAATATTGTGCATGAGCAGATTATATTCGAAATTCATTAGTTGTGGCCAATAGGGTATCTCAACACCCTAGTCCATAAATATTGTTAGTAATTTTATGATCATTATGTACTTAAGTAATATGATTTCAATAAAAAGATCTCACCGGTTGTTGATTTGAAGATGAATTCTGAATATTTCTAGTGTCGCTTGACTAGCCAATGCTCTAAAGAGAGTTGTAAAACATTTATCAGTACATTGCCAAAATTTAAAAATAAATCTAGCCAATTTGAAATCAAGTACTTTAGCAAATTAATACCTGAGTAAGGCGGGTAGGTTACGAAGAACTTTTGTTCTCTTAGTGTTCTTTCTCATGCCAAGTTTTTAATCTACTCCCACTCTTGTGTCCGCCCCTTTTTTTTTTTTAAGCCCTTAACTCGTGCAAAGTTTTGGATCAACTACAAATTCTTTAGTACTATTACTATAAAAATAAATAAAGATCACACCCTTTTTTGTGTGATCTATGATATTTAATCACTTTTTAAGTTTTATCAAAGTGTGATATTTGAGAATGTGATTAAAAATGATCATTTTTAAAACACATCTTTTAAGTGTGATTAATAACTTTTAGATCACATCTTTTAAGCGTGATTAAAAACTAATAAAAACTGTGATTAATAAACATTTAGATCACACATTTTAATGTGATTAATAATATTTAAATCACATCTCTTAAGTGTGATTAATAACTAATAAATATGTAATAATAAACATTTAGATCACATCTTTTAAATTGTGATTAATATCTAATAAAACCTGTGATTAATAATGAAATAAGATCACATGTTATATGTATTTCTCATCACAGTTAATGCGTGTAATAAAAAAAAGGTTCGACATATTTGAAGAATAATTAATATTATTTTTATACACGCATTTCAAGAATGTTAATACACACTATATATTATACTTTGAATCACAATCACATATTGAATGAATACGTCATATATTTCATAATAAAAATAAATATGTTCAAAAGTATATATAAAGGAAATTAAATAAAAAGATCACTACTATAAGAAGTTAAATATGTACGGTGGTGATTGTGCCTTTTACATCAAGAAGTCGCAGACCCATCAGTCTCCGACCTTGGAGCTCAATGGCTTGCTGCAAGTCAACTTGTTCCACCAGTTTCTTTCTCCACAATATGTTCTAGCTTGGGAAGTATATCCAAACATCTTGCTCCTAAATTTGAAAAACAAACCCCAAACATCAGTGACATAATATGAATGGGCTTGCAACAACCAGGGATGAAACCATGGACATTGGTAGCTTTAATGTATGTGTTGAATGGAGCAAAACAATGACATTTTGCTACCATGCTGGAGATCATAAGGGTCTCTTGAATCTAAGCCAGTAGGGCCACCACATGCTGAGAACTCTCCTCATTCCATTTGTTGCTGCTGATGCTGCAGCTTCCTGCAATTTCCCATTGACATTAACAAAGAAACCACGAGAATGCTTATATCTACAGAAACAAAATTCACACACACAAACACAGACAAGAAGAGAAGAGGGAGTGCCTGTATTTGTTCAGGGACCTTGCCCTTCTCCTTGTATGGCTTCACAAGCACCCTGCATCACATACAAATGAGGGTTCCTTTAGCAAGAATGAGCTTAACAGTTTCTAGTAGACAAGTAACAACCCAAACATTTTCTTCTGTTGATATGGAATCCTCACATCTTGAACTGGTCCATAAATAGTTGAAAAAACCAATTAAGAAAATAGTCCAGAAACTAAAAGGACATTCGATTGAGTACAAATGGGCCTTAAAACTATCACATAATACCTTATTTATAGGCATCCAAAGAAAAACCCTAACTAAAAGTGAGAAAAAAAAAATATAATAACATAATATTTAAATCCTAATTAGTATTCTAATACTGATATAATTTCTAATAAATCTAAATTTCCAAAAGATCAATTCTTTCCTCATCTAACACCTTTTTTGTCCTCATCACTATGATTATGAAACATGTATAGGCACTGGTTTTTTGACAAAACCCAATAACCCCTCAAATGTTCCAAACACGCAATATGCAAAAACTCTAGAGGCATTAAACCTGACACATACAGATGCCTTGGCAAAGATTAATCATTTATCTATTTGCAAAGCTTCAGTTGAGGAAATCAATGAAAAAGCCAACATGATGGACAATGCATGACAATTGTTGTTCACCCCAATCACTTACTCATTTGATTTTTTTTTTTTTCCCGTCATAACAAGTAATTAAATATCTGCCAATTATGCATGAAAAGCACTCAATCAGAAGCAAAGGTTCCTCTTGATATGAAAAATGAGGGCTCCAATTTCTTTAATCCTCAAAAATAGGATCCAACTTAAAGAGCCACCAATATAACTTGTTTCGAAGCTCCAATTTAAGCAGGTAATGGTTATACCATAGCTTCAAGAATAAAAATTTCATGCAATGCACATCCAATTCCAGTATATGTATCAGCTAGTAACTTACCTGAAACTTTTATGCTCAAGGAGATAATGGGACTTATGGAGCATGGACTATAAACTCAATCTGTCCTCATCAATTTGCAAGCAATAGCCAGTGTATGATATCTGGGACGGCCATGGACCTACCAGAAGGAAGAAAATGAAATAATGAATATGTTTGTTGGTTTCCTTCAAACCAGGATGCCTTACATCACAGGAAAAAAATTCTTCACCAGAACATTCTGTGTCTACCACTAATTAAAACTTGGGAAAAAGTAGAGAACAAAAAATCATTCAAATATGTTCATTGCTTCAATCACATCCTCAAAAATTAAGTATACAAGTCAGTAATTGAATCTTTATTTCTTGCACAAGTGGATTTAATTTTCTAATGATTGGACTCGGATACCATAGAATTATCCTTTTGGAACAATGGTATCTTTGGACTGATGCTATTGTGCAGAAAAAAAAGTTGGTTCTGATGGTAATGGAAGGGTGTAAGAGAAGCTATTGAGCATAAGAAACACTTAAGCCATGGTTGGCCTTTGAGCTGCATTTTCCTGTACACGTAGCAACCCAATATGGATGCATCCCATAATTTCACTTAGCGAACTTGACCTATTGTTTAATGTAAGATCTATCATATTTGAAATTGTTCCTTCCCTCCAACTTTTCCAAGCCTGCACAAATTCAATATATGTGCAATGAGATTTCATGGCCTATAAAATTTCATAGGACGAATAAGCTGTCATGGATGTCATGGATATTAATTCATACTTACGTAGCTTAGAAGGTTCTATTTTCCTCATCATGGAAATAGTTGTTCTTCCGACCGCTCACAATTTCCAAGACTAACACACCAAAGCTAAACACATACTTTGACTGAGAACTGACCATGTATTATATATTCTGGAGCTATATATCCACTGCAATGTTTAATGTATGTGTCAATAATATATTAGAATAATGATGTGATGACCAAAATTTTTATAGCTAAAATTGCACACCACTAATTTACTACGCAACTTTTGACTTACACTAAGGAGTCCACCTATTCTAAATGATTACAAAAAGTTCATTTTTTTCTTTTTTTCTTTCTCTATATTCAAAGCATATTTTGACAAAATTTTATGAAGCATTTCGCAAAAGTTTCATCCATGCATGAACCAAAACCATTGGGAAATTAACAATAAAGTAATGTTAGCCATAATCATATGATGCGGGTAGAATTAAACGTTACTTGGTTCCCACAACTTACTTGTATTCCTTGAGTTTCATCTAGCACAAACAATCTTGCAAAGCCAAAATCTGAAATTTTGGGATTCATCTCTGCATCTAACAGAACATTTGCTGGTTTTGAGATCACGACGAATAATTCGGAGGCGTGAATCTTCATGAAGATATAAAAGTCCCCGAGCTATGCTCCTATGATCTTGTAACGCCTTACCAATCCAAATGTGCATGATTGATGGAATCTGCAGGTTTATCCATGTATATGGTTGAATCAATATCAAAATAGAATAAAATCTTCCCAAATTGTCCTTGAAAGGATTCTAATTTGACATTTTATTGTATGATAAAATTGATAGTGCATCAAGATATATAGTCTATATTGTTCTCTCTTTGACAAAAAGCCACGGAGTGTGCATAATTCAAGTATGCTTTTTAGATGAAGTTGATAGAAGCAGAGTCTAAGCAACATAGTAATCATACCAAATATGAAATAATCGAGGCTCAAGTTTGTTACAAACTCATAGATGAGAACTTTTTCTGTTCTTTCTAGGCCAAATCCCAAGAGCTAAACCAAATTCCTATGTTGAAGCTTGGCCAGTAGCATAACCTCATTTTTAAACTCTAGTTCTCCTTGTGAAGAATTCTTAGACACCTTTTTCACAGCTATTTCTTTTCCATTCGGAAACCTACCCTGAAGATGTAACCAAACTGTTAAAAAACTATAATCCAACAACTACTACTAATAATTATTATTATTATTTTAAACATTAGGGAAATATATCCTATCATAAGTTATTCAATACCTTATAAACAACACCAAATCCACCTTGTCCAAGCTTATTAGCATCGGATCCCAACTGAGTGCCTCCCAAATCATGCACACCAACAAAGAAGAAAAGCTTAGGGAGATAGCTTAGGTTTGAATTTCTGTCTTGTTTCATTGCTCTAAATGCTTATTATTTGGGTCAAAAATCAAGAACATAATCTATTCTAGTCATGGTAAATTATGTGACATTGCAGTTCTTGTCTTAACTCATGAATTTGCGTTTTTAGCAGGCTATGAACAAGTTGTTTTGAAACTGTAATGTGCTAACATGTTCACAAAAAAAAAAACAAAGACAGACAAAAAAAAAAAACAAATTAGGCACAAATAGTCTTTTTTACTTACACTGAAGCACTTGTCTAAAGCCTCTCCATCCAAGTAAGGCCCAAATACTAGGTAGCACTATCTTGGGGAAGTTAACTTCACGAGTCCAGTCTACAAATGAATAAATTTGAGAGACTAGAGATATGTCAAGAATAATAGGCACAAATCAAGGACATTAGTATTTTTTTTTTAATGAGCCCATAAGCCCACTTAGAAGAAACCCTACCCAGGCCCGTGACCCTGTTGGGCCCATAGGTTGGGCGCCCCCCCGCCCTAGCCCATGACCCTGTTGGGGCCCAAAACCCCAACCCTCCCCTATAGGAGTGTTGGGCTGATGCCATTAGGCTACAAGGCAATTGGCATAAACAGAAGTCAATTGTTTTGACAGTGTGGTTTGTACAAAGCGATAGTTGTCAAACACAAAACTTGTAAACTCCCTAAATTATGTGAGTGAAGAAAAACTGATACAATGAAAATATGGATAGCACTAAAACAAACTCCATGGTTTGATATTTGATTTCCGAAGAGATGGGTAAAAAATATATGTTTTTACAATATTTTTCTGTAGTTTCAAAATTGGCATGAAAATTCAGATTAGTAAAGCCAACCACAATTAAGACAAGGTGCCAAATTGGATTGAGATAACAACAGATGGCATAAAATTTACTTCAAGGTTAAAAGATAGCTGTGTATAAAAAAAAAAAAAAGGGGTTAAAGATAGCCACTTTCCAAACATTCAGGTTTAAAATATGGAACTATCAGTGTATGGAATCAAATATTATAGCTAAAAAATTGAGAAGTTGAATAAAATGGACCAGTTTATTTGAATTGTAAAATTGATAATATGTGGTACAATTCACAATTTGGCCAACTAGAATGCAAGCCGAATCCGAAAACAAAGAAGATACTTTCCCATTACACTTTCAAACAAATAAAACACATGCAAAGGCCAAAAAGCTTAGAAGAAAAAGAAAAAAAGTGAAAGCATAGAGTTTAACACTCAATACCCACTACTGTTCTTGGATCAAGTACTTTCGATTCTTCTCTAATATAATATTCTTTCGTTGTTAGTGGTTTCTATGAGAGGAGAGTGGGATGTACCTCAGGCTGAACCTGAAGCTGGACTGGACGGAAAATCTGGTGCGGGTCTTGATCAAAGAAGATCGAGGGTCAATTGAACAGAAATGAAGAGAAAAATTAGGTCAAAGATGAATTGTCCATCTTCCGATTTTGTTTCCGATACATTAATGTGCCTCGCCGCCTGATCTTTCTCATCGCAATCAGCCCATTTAAGATCACCGTTCTGACGAGTCCGATGGTAGTTCTTTGAAGACAAAGGTTCTGATAGGGGTCTGGATTCGAACATATGGCTTGTGGAGGATTGGAGAAGATCGAAGGTAGGGTTAGGGTTTTGGGACCGACGACGAGAGTGGAGAAGACGAAGTAGACGACTGGTGAAGATCGATGAAGAGAATAGGAGAGAGGGAGAGGGCGGCGAGGGAGGAGTTGGGGCGGTGGCAGTGGTGGTTGCCCGTGGCGCCACCAGAGGGCAACGACGTAGGAGGCGGAAGAGACGAAGGGCGTGTTTGATTGGGCGGATAAAGGGAATATCACTATTTGGATTATTAAATTTAATAGTCTTGCTTATCGCCGTTTGATTGTTTTTTAGTCCGCCGAACTTCATATCGGCCGACTCTATGTTCCCATGCGAGGGACTATCCTATCCTGGGATGGGATTGTTTGTTAGGACTAATCACTATTTTAGATTAGATGAATGAAATGATCATTTTAACCCTCTACTATTTAAATTATGTATTATATTTAATAAAATTTAAATGTCTCAATTTAAAAATAAAATAATTTTATTTAATTTTTT